CTAAGCAGATTGCAAGTTTTTGAGATTATTTTTTCTTTGTGAGCCACTAATTAAAGTTATTTTAAACAAAATTTTAATAGTACTTATTTATTGAAAAATAGTAGCAAAGCATCTCAAAAATTCAAAAATTTTCAAAATGTAAAGGTTAAAACTGGTCTTGAGACAGATTTAGAACTGATACAACCTACTAGTTAGAGTAGATCTGCCATTATTTCTCAATAGGTAAGTATTATTAAAATTTTGGTTTAAATAACTTTAATTAGTAGCTCATGAATAAAAGATGATTTCAATTTATAATAATAACAGAAACAACTTTAACTTGGTTTAAAATATTTTTTTATTTTATTTAATACTTTCATAATGGCATTGTTGCTATATAATCACAGAACTTAAAGCTACATGATTGCAAAACTACATGATCACAAAAATCTGTCTTTAGTTTTATATCATGTTTTTATTGATGAACCACTTATGCACCATCCCATGATAATATTGAGATGGAATTGAATACCATGCTGCTATGACCTTTTTTTCGAAATCATCAATATTTGTAGGTTTATCCAAAGAATTATGCAACCGTCTTTCAACTTCTTGCCACATAAGTTCTATTGGACTCATATCTGGACTTTGGGCAAGCCAAGTTAGGACGGAAATACCAGCTTGTTCAAGAACTTCTTTAACTTTCCAATATTTATGAGAGGTAGCACTGTCTTGCTAAAAAATACCTTGCTCATTAGAAACTAGACATCATATAGCAGAAATAGCGTAGTTTACTATAAGTTTAGCATAAACTTCACTATTTACATTGCCATGAATGGGGACTATCGGTTCTAGTCCATGCCATGAAAAGCAAGCCCAGAACATGAGACTAGAGTTATGATTTATGGTAGAACCCAGGCACAATTCATCAAATTCTTCATTGAGAATATAATTAAAATTGGACTCATCTGATCAAATAATATTATGCCATTTGCGATTCTAATTTAAATGGTTTTTCACATTAGATTCACCATGGCTATGGTCATAAAGGATTTCAAGCTGAAGGTTAGATATTTTTTTTCTTTTTGCCACTATAATACGAAACTTTAGAAGCTAATTCTATTCTAATCATCTTTTTATAATTTTTTGTTTTTTTTTTTTTTTTTTTTTTTTTTTTTTTTTTTTTTTTTTTTTTTTTTTTTTTTTTTTTTTTTTTTTT